TGCTACCCTAGGGTACATCCTCTGCAATCTGCATCCATTTCCTTTTTGAAAAACATTTACGAAATTGCTCCAAAATCGTGTATTTTAGCCTTTAATTTCTAAAAGAAATAATTGACTTTTCCAAACCCAAATTAAAAGTGAACGATGTGCTTCTCATGGACCCCATGAGACTCCGAGAGGCCAATTTGCTGGTTAGAACCACCCACTCTGGCTTTTAACTATCAATTTAGTTGTTTATGGACACTCTTTTTGTCATAGACTTGATGTCATCTCGTGCCTTTCAAAGATCAACCAGTGAGCGCATATGATTCAAAATAACAGTTTATGTTGTTGGGATGCATTTCCCATAATCAATAGATTTTTTATTTTTTTTTATTATTTATTTATTTATTTTTTTTTAAAATTTGGTCTGATGTCGTGTATTATGGCCTTGAATTATAGCTGATGTCCAGTTTTAGTTGATAATCTTCTGTCACATGTTTTAACTATCACTAGATTCACTACAACTGATGTCTCTAATACACCTTAAGTTTCAAATAAAACTCAATCTCTAGACTAAAGAGACTTAACTATTGTGATTGTGGAGACACTCTATGCATTCATTTTTGTTTTTTGCAAAATTTCTCAATATTGATGTGAGATCGTGTATTACAGCTTTTTTTTTTTTTAAGAGAAATTTCGACTTTCCAAATCTAGCAAGAATAGAGGACAAGATATTTCTCATGGATCTCATGAGACCCTAGAAGGCCATATAGGTGGTTGGAATCATCCGTTTTGCCTCTTAACTAACAATTAAACGGTTATGAACATGCTTATCATTATTAACTCAATGTCACCTCGAGCCTTTTTAGGACCGTATATTGGGTGTATATGGCGCTAAACAACCTTTTATGATATCAGGATAAACCCCCCACCATTATTAAAAATTCTGACACCGAGTTCCGAAAATTGGCTGATTTTGTGTATTATTTTCCCTTTGCATCCAAAACACACTTTGGTAAGACTCAAGGTGCTTCCAATGCTTCCGAAGAGACCCAGGAGGGCTAATAGGTGGTTTGAGCCATTTATTCAGTGCGACTCACCACAAAAAAAATTCTAATATTCGAATTTATGACACCAGTGTTTACAGTTTCTAGATTAAATATCTATGTAGAGTTATCCTCTTTTTGTGAATGTGTTAACTTACCTTCCAAAGCTGCGTACACTTCTCTGCAGCATTGGGCCTGTTGGCTCTTCCTAGATAGGCTCATAGTTTTCTAGAATCCACCCCTTAGATTGTCATATTCCAAAGTTTACTGAAATACCTAGATCAACTAATTTGATTCTCTAATACAGTGCTCCATCCTTTCCATATATTGTCCACCTTTCTATATTGTTTGTCCCATGCTCTTGTACTCTTTGGTTAAATAATGTATAGTAACACAATCAAAATTTTCTGTTCCCATATATTGACATGCTATAAGCTAGTGTCCCCCCTCTCTCTCTCTCTCTCTCCCTTTTTTTTTTTTTTTTTTTTTTTTTTACATGGAAAAAATCAACATGGTCAGTATCTTTGGTAGTATAAATTGCCCCATTGCTTGTGTTATGGACATTTTAAAGATAAATTTTTTCTTTAGTGTTCCATCATAAGTAATCTTTGTGTTTGATCTTTTGAAATCTCTAATCAGGTTCATGTTCTTCCAGGTTGTTACTTGCCTTCGTCAACCATCACAAGGGCCAACTTTTGGAATAAAAGGTGGTGCAGCTGGTGGTGGTTATAGTCAAGTGATTCCAATGGATGAGTTCAACCTTCACTTAACAGGGGATATACATGCTATAACAGCTGCAAACAATCTTCTTGCTGCTGCCATAGACACCAGAATTTTCCATGAGGCCACACAGTCTGATAAAGCTCTGTTTAACCGGTTGTGTCCCCCTAACAAAGAAGGTAAAAGAACCTTTTGTAACATAATGTACAGGCGTTTGAAGAAGCTTGGTATTGATAAGACTAATCCAGACGATCTTACACCGGAAGAGGTCACTAAATTTGCTAGGCTTGATATTGACCCTGATTCTGTTACATGGAGGAGAGTTATGGATGTGAATGACCGGTTTTTGAGGAAAATTACTGTTGGTCAGGGGCCTGATGAGAAGGGGATGACTAGGGAAACTGGATTTGATATATCTGTTGCTAGTGAGATAATGGCAGTTTTGGCTCTAACAACGTCCTTGGATGATATGAGGGAGAGACTTGGAAAAATGGTGATTGGAAATAGCAAGGCTGGAGAACCTATAACAGCTGATGACCTGGGCTTAGGTGGTGCTTTAACTGTACTGATGAAGGATGCAATCAACCCCACGCTGATGCAGACTCTTGAAGGAACACCAGTGCTTGTTCATGCTGGTCCTTTTGCAAATATTGCTCATGGTAATTCCTCTATTGTTGCTGACAAGATTGCTCTGAAGCTGGTTGGGTCTGGTGGATTTGTAGTTACTGAAGCGGGATTTGGTTCTGATATCGGAACTGAGAAGTTCATGAACATTAAATGCCGATATAGTGGTTTGACTCCGCAGTGTGCTATTGTCGTTGCCACAGTGAGGGCTTTAAAAATGCATGGTGGTGGACCACAAGTAGTGGCTGGCAGGCCTCTTGATCGTGCTTACTTAACAGAGAATGTGGGCCTTGTGGAGGCTGGCTGTGTTAATCTTGCTAGGCATATTTCAAATACTAAGGCCTATGGTTCAAATGTTGTGGTTGCCATAAACATGTTTTCTACTGACACAGAAGCAGAGCTGAATGCTGTTAGAAAAGCAGCAATTGATGCTGGGGCATTTGATGCAGTTATTTGTACTCATCATGCCCATGGTGGAAAAGGAGCGGTTAGTAATGAATACTCTAGAGTTAGTTATCAATATTAGGGATGTGATGCTAGACTGAGTAGCCTTTTCAGTTGAAACACCTTTTTCTTGTTTCATGTTATTGGTTTTTTGTTTTTTTTTTTTTAATTTAAAAAAAAAATAGAAAACTGAAAACAAAAAACGATGCCAAACAAGCCCTAACAATCAGAGTAGTGGTATACATTTCTTTGTTAGCAACTAAGCTCACTAGTTATCAGTGTAGGAACCTTTATTGTTTTCCGCTGATGCTTGATTTTACTTTAGTAAGATATGGAATCAATGTTACCTATCTCTTTGACTGCCGATTATTTTGTGAGTGGAATTCCATCTGGATCTGATGCTGTACTTTGATATGTTTCAGGTGGATCTTGGCATAGCTGTTCAAAAAGCATGTGAGAATGTAACACAGCCTTTGAGGTTCTTATATCCTCTGGATGCTAGCATCAAAGAGAAAATAGAGGCAATAGCAAAGTCTTACGGTGCTGCTGGTGTTGAATACTCAGAACAGGTCAGCAATTTGGTTATTTGGACTAGTCTGGGTGATAAATGCTCTTTGATACGCTCCTTAATTGAATTATTTACATTTAAGATTAATGACTGTTGTACTCTCAGCCTCCTAAAATAGAAAGTTTTGTCTACACGTGCTTATGCAATGCAAGTCTATGTTATAACATCATTTTCTAGACTCACTATTTGGTTAATGTTGAAGTATTTGTTCCTTTAGTCAATGATATAATCTTCATTTACCTAACAAATATTGAACTAGTGACCTATTTTTTTTTATCTTTAAGAAATTGCCATTAATACAACATATTTAAAGTGTAGATAACGTATTTTGGAATCTTTGTATATTAGCACCAAACCATTCATAATATTAATGCTCTAATCATTGCCATGATATAAGCATGTTGAAAGAGTCTTCCCATTTCTTCTGTTTTTAGGCTGAGAAACAAATCGAGATGTACAGCAAGCAAGGCTTTTCCAATCTTCCAATCTGCATGGCAAAGACTCAATATTCATTTTCTGACAATGCTGCTGCAAAGGGAGCTCCAAGCGGATTTATTTTGCCTATTCGGGATGTGAGAGCTAGTATTGGTGCTGGATTTATTTATCCTTTGGTTGGAACCATGAGTACAATGCCTGGGCTTCCTACAAGGCCTTGCTTCTTTGATATTGACCTCGACACTACTACTGGGAAGGTTATTGGTCTTTCTTGAAGATCAAATAATCAGGATAGATTTGAGACCGAGTTCTCTCTTCCAGCACAAACTTCTTGGAGACCTTTCATTCTGATTTTGTATGAACTTGTATGTCTTATGAACAAATGTTTCTTATTGCTTCACTAAATAAAAAGAATCTAATATGCCTTCCCTTTGTTCTGTTTGCGTATCCCAACCTGTGCATCAATGTTGATATAATTTTTAATATTGATTATATACTTTGTACAAAGTATTTCGTTTTTTTTATAGCTGTAGAAACTTGTTAATGCTACATTGCTACCCACCTGTAGTAGACGGGCTCATTACTTCTGCTCCAAGTGTTAGTTAGAATGTGAGGAACATGTAGATCTGCAAATCAAAAAACAAAGAGCTTATTTCTTGCATCCCAGTAACTCGGGTGAACACACTCTTCCATTGTGGCTTCCCATCATCGGTAGGAGGCCTTGTTAGCTCGATGGCTATAAGCCTAGAGCACCTCCACCGGCTAGGAATAATGTCTGTGATCCAATCAATGTGGTGTCTTTGATATGTCTTACCTTTGTTCATATTTAGGGGAAATAGGTCTGCTGTCAAAAAAAAAAAAAAAAAAGAGATGATGATCATTGACATAAATGGTGCCTATTGCCCTTGAATTAGATTGGGAAAGATGTTACCATTCCATATGTACATTGTTTTTGTATTTATATTTGTTGTTGACTTGTCAAAAAAAAAAAAAAATTGTTTAACAATATTTGATTGAAATCGCATTTTTATATAACAATAATTTTCTTAATTAGCTATGGATACCTATTAAATAACAATAAAATGCTACAATATTTTTATAAGACTATAGCTAGTTTAAGTTAATATACATCACAATTTTAGTTTTATTTATATGTACAATTACATATTTTTGGTGGATATATATACATACACTTTGTAGATACATTAATTTTAAACATGCGTTGTTATTATTATTACTTTTTTCTCCCTAAGTCCCAAACCATAAATTAACAAGTGGTAAAAATATGGCAAATATTGATCAATGATATAAAAATTACTCCTACATAAATTGTGCAACATTTGTGTGAGGTACATCTATCATAAACCTAATTGTGCAACAAAAAAGGTACTCCATACTAAATTAGACCTTAATTACTTACGCCGATATTTGAAAATAGATTTTTTTTTTCTTTTTCGGAACTGAGACAAGATCCTTAAATTTGCCGTATTAGGTATTCTTTTGAGAGGAGGGAATATAGAAGTCCCAACAACAATTTTAAACTTAACCAACAATCATCATCAATTACTTTCCATGATTAGTATGCATTGAGAGGCGATAATCATCACTTTTTATCGTCACTCTGCATCAACTATTCCATTTTTTTTCTGGGAATTTGGAGAGATAATGGATTACACAACAAAATCACAAATGACAGATCAATCAAAACCCAATTTTTTACCAGTAAAAACACCAAATTTATCTGTAATTTCAGATACCAGAAAATCCATGTTTTGTGTTTATGTTTTTATGTTAACATTTATTTTCTGCACTTTTTTCATTCTTTTCAACAACCCATCTTCTTCTTCTTCTTTGAAATACATTGCTAATTTCAAAGACTTCTCTCATTTTTCTTCCTTATTCACCCATTTCTTCCCCAATTCTTCTCCAAATTCTTCTTTTGTATTAGGAATAAATAATACTAATACTAATAATAGTAACAATCATATTGTCAATAATGTGTCATTATCATCATATCATTATCCTCCAAAAATTGGGGATGAGTTGTATGAATCAATGTTAAATTGTGATTTATTTGATGGGAAATGGGTTAAAGATGATTCATACCCACTTTATTCACCTGGGTCTTGCCCACATATTGATGAGCCCTTCAATTGTTATCTCAATGGTAGGCCTGATAATGCCTATGAGAGGTATAGATGGCAGCCTCATGGGTGCAACATTCCTAGGTAATAATAATGCTGCACTTTTGTTTTATTTTCTTGATTTTGTTGGGCATGAATTTGGACATATATGTGTTATTGATGTTAGAAAATTATATAAAATTTAATCTTTATACAATGTTACGCGGTACTCCCTCTGTTCCTTAAAGATACGATCAGTTGCATTGCGATTGAGTATGTGAATCCATGAGTATAGTCTATATTTCATGCAGATGAAATTGTGTATTTTTGTTTAAGTGAGACTTATTTGAGATGGTTTTATGTATTGTTATAATGGCAGATTAAATGGCACCCATATGTTGGAATTGTTGAGAGGGAAGCGTCTTGTTTATGTTGGTGATTCATTGAATAGGAATATGTGGGAATCACTTGTATGTATACTCAGAAATGCAGTGGAGAATAAAACCAGGGTATTTGAAGCTTCTGGAAGAGAAGAGTTTCGCACTGAGGGTTCTTATGCCTTCATATTTGATGTATGATTGGTGATAATTCATTAAAAAGATTTTTCATTCATTTCAGAGAGATGCTAGTTAGTTGATAATGTTGTCAGGATTTAACACATCTGTAATTTGTTGTATGATTGTGTGTGAATTGTTAGGATTACAACTGTTCAGTGGAGTTCTTTAGGTCCCCATTCTTGGTTCGAGAATGGGAAATGCCTGACAAAAATGGAACAAAGAAGGATACACTGAGGCTTGATTTAGTTGAGAGGGAATCTGGCAGATATAAGGATGCAGAATTTCTGATCTTCAACACTGGACATTGGTGGAGTCATGAGAAAACTCAAAAGGGGTAATATCCTGCTAGTTCAACTCGTCTTTCATGCATTGTAATTTCTTACTCCAGGATAGAAATTGATGGATAAAATAAAATTTTGTGCAGGGAGGGTTACTATCAAGAAGGTAGTCATGTCTATAGTCAATTAGAGGTCAATGAGGCTTTTCGACGAGCATTGACAACTTGGGGAAGATGGCTGGAGGCTATGGTTGACCCCATGAAAACACAAGTTTTCTTTAGGGGATATTCAAATTCTCACTTTGGGTAAGTTTGACAGCAGAAGTCTGACATACTTTCAACATAATGTAACAGTTGCTGAATTTCAAATTAGTAGATTGTTTTGTGATTTGATTATTATTTTGTCACAAATACTTTCAACATAATGTAACAGTTGCTGAATTTCAAATTAGTAGATTGTTTTGTGATTTGATTATTATTTTGTCACAAAGAGAGATCCAAAATTGTCAGTCAGTAGCTGTGCCTGATCAAATATTGGTTGTTTATCATTTAGACATGAAAAGGATATATGTGAGTTCTGCATATATTCTGAAGCTTACTGTTTGTTCCTTTACTCTGTTTCATGCCTTTTGTTGTTAAGACTTTTGTTTCTTTTGCTCCAAAATATTTTAGTTCTTGATCACTGCTGATAGTCTCTCTATTAAATTGTCTGTAACTTTCATGATTTGCAGAGGTGGAAGGTGGGATTCTGGTGGTACATGTGATAAGGAAATTGAGCCGATCAAGAACGAAACAGATCTACCAGAACAACCCCCCATGATCAAAGTAGTGGAGAATGTGATAAAGGGGATGAAAGTACCGATTTTCTATCTTAACATCACAACACTGACTGACTACCGGAAAGATGCCCACCCTGCAGCTTATAGAACACAGGAGGAGAGGCTTTCACAGCCAAGATATCAAGACTGTGCTCATTGGTGCCTTCCTGGTGTTCCTGATACTTGGAATGAACTAGTGTATTCTCAAATCTTGATAAGAAATTACCAAAAGCAACATCAAGGATAATACCAACTAGAGCAGTGCCGTTAAAGGACATGGGTAAATTATTAATGAGGTTTCTGTTTACTGCTTCAGTCACTACATGATAGTGTAGCTGGTATCATGAAATTTACTTTGCTCGGGATCAATTTAGGTTCTACTCTTATCATGTCTTTGAAGTTGGTTTAGTGAGCGTTTATATTTGAAAGTCTGCAACTCCTCGTGGTTGATGAATGCATGCTGTCTCCTTGTTTTTTTTACTCTCTTCCTCTTGCACAAAACTTAATCAATGTGGCATGGTTTTTAGTTGTGTTTGCTTTTGTTTGAAATCGTCTTCATTGGCTACTTTATTAGTTATTAAGTTTAAGCTGATGTTGACTGGCCTACTAGTGCTGGGATTACCTTATTGATTTTGATTAGGAGGTGGGGTGGGGTGGGAAGGGAGACTTATATGTACCAGATGATTTTTAATAAGGGCTTCAATATATAACTTGAATTTAGTTCTTAAGCTCTTGAATTGAGGACTTTGAAATTTTACTCTCTGACTATTTCTACATGATGCTCAAGCATTTTGTTGATGTATGATTATATGATATACAATGCTCGAGATTTAAACGAGATAATATTGGCTGTGCAGAAAAAAAGTTTGGCATTTGACTGATAATGTAGTAAAAATTGAAAAGTTAGAAATATGATGAGCTCTCTTAACTGGTAGCCATTTTGCTTCCGTTTCATCTTAAGGATAAGTGATTAGTATTTTACTTGCCTTTCTTGAGTCATATTTTTCTACTAGCACCTTGTAATTTCTGTCCATTTTATGTATATCTGAAGGCCGGAGTGATGGATGTAGAACTTCTCAAGGGAGCCCACAGGACACAACCAAAGATGATGAAATTTTGGATTACTGCAGCAATATGGGTAAGTCATATCCATCTATTGTCTACTACTTTATATGGAGTATTTAGTAAAGAGTACATTTTTAAACAAGATATAAGGATGAAAGATAGATAAGCAGAGTACAGGCTGAAATAGAAACTTCAACAGGCCTCTTTTCCTCGGCCCTCATTGGCCTTGTTTAGTAGTCATTGTTTCTTGGGATTGATAGATATAGCTCTTTCCAGACAATTGTTTTGGTGCTATATCTTGTACCAAAATGAACATGATCTTGTACATGGTCAGAAAAAGTCTTGCAATCTTTGGTAGGTTTGTTTCTGTAATTCAACTTTATATATTAAGGTTTTTGTAATACAGTTGTTAAGGCAATTTCTTCTTTATATGGGATTTAGTATATTGAATCATGCAAGTGTTAATGTTATCTTTTTACCATCGTTGATCAGCACCATCTCTGAGATTCTAAGAATTATGCATGTGTTCATCAAACCATTTATTTATTGCTATTGCTTCATCTAAATTACAAACTTTCAATGCTGCACTATGCAAAATACAGACTTCATCTACATATACTACTATTTAAGTCTATAACACCATAGGATTGTTAAATCTGATATCGGTATCTTAGGCTGCCAACTAGAATTCAGGTTCATAACACAAATTTTACTCATTTGAGCAAAATTATGAGTTGATGGCCCTGCAATTGGTTCGAATCTGGCCACTTGACCCTGTTAGTGGATTTATGTTTCCCATATTAATCATGGAGTTGATGAAGTCACTAAAAAAGAGGTTCTGATCATTGCTGTATCTCTCGACGATGCTCTTTGTCGTTGAATTAGCCAGATTGCTGGAATACAACTCTTGGTCTGATAGGAGAATGCCCTTATTGTTTAGCAAATTTTTGAAGTAATGGTTGTCAAATAAGTCTGTTGAGTTCTGGTCAAGAGAAGTTGTCTTGTTCCCATCACCATTGACTGGGCACAAGCTCTGCAGCTGTGATACTAGGCTAGTGTCCATGGTGCTGTCTGGAGCTCCGGTATTAGAAAAATTGAACAACCTTGAACTAAAAGTAGCACATCTTGCCAATCCTATTGTATGAGCACCTGCAGTAAAACCGTCAGTTCCATTAGTATTTAGGAGATTCAAGAGGTAATCTTGTCAGAACTCTTGTAAGTATGATAATATGTATACCTTGTAAGGCCACAACGTCAGTTAAGTTGAGGCCTTGATCACCAAACTTAGAAATGACGCTGTCTAGGGGATCAAACGGAGATGGAAGGTTTGAGTTTGCTCCGGTCTGGTTGGCCACCATTCCATCTCTCCTTCCTAGCAATACTCTATATGAATGCCCTCCACTCTGCAACATTAAATTATTAGTCAAGTACATACGTAACCAAGACTAATGAATTGCGGGCACCTAGTCACCTACTGCTATTTTGTTCCTTTTCATCTGTGATTTTTCTAGATGCACGACAATATGACATACCAATGCTATTGAATCGCGGGCAGCTATTGCTAGTATATCAGCACAGGACACAACTCCACTGCATGAACTCTCCACTGCACTTTTGATCTTGTCCACAACGTCAAACCCTCTTAGAGAATTCTGGTTAGGAAGAGCGAGCTTTTCACTGTCGCTTCCATCCAGAAGAACAGACCCATCACAACCCTATTCACAAAACCATAAGATATTGTTGTTAGAGACGAAAATCTGTACACGAGTATTTGATTATTCTATACGTACAGCTACAACTTTTCCGGCCTGCACAGTCTGGTTTGGCTCATGATCAGCTCGATCTTAATGATATGTACAACTAGAACTCCTGCAGTATATGTATTTCATGCATGCATTGGAAGAAATCAAAGCTGTTTGAGAGGAAAACTTACATTGACAAAGCAATCATGGAAGTGAAGTCGAAGCAAAGAAGCTCCCATCCTCATTTCATTCATAATAGCAATTTGAACCTGTTTTCTTACAATCTGAAAGAGATTAGGGCATGTTTTTTCATAAAAATTAGCAGTTAGCTGGCATTTCACATCCACAATGTTGAACACCAACAAAGTTAGTAGCAAAATGACACTTTTTATGCCTTTTGAACTCTTCATACTTAGTGGTTGTATATTAACAAGCACAAATAATAACTAAGCCAAGGATTCTAGTTTGTAATGAGAGATGATTATAATGAAGATAATGAACTCTCTAAGTTGCATAACTTAACCATATTTGGAGCTCTATTTATAACTAGTGGGATTCCGGGTAACGGGTAATTAATGTTATTAAACTATATCCACTTAACTTAAATTATAGGTTGAATTTATACATACGTAATATTATTTTAGGTCGTTTAGGATGATCAAAAAAAGTTGTTGCCTTTATCAAAATTCTCAATGTCACTACTTGAATTAAGTGACAAGGATATGTATATGATGATTAAAATGCATAAACTTGATAATAGTAAGAGTCTGCAAGTAGAATTTTGACACATCAACAATTGAAAGTTGAGGCAATGTGACACTTAATTCTGAACAGAGAAAGATACGTAGAAATATAAAATGCTTTATAGTATGTATGGTGCTTTGACGTATGGCGGCTGTAGCACATTTAATTGTTATAATCTTGCACTAAAACACTTAAAACATAATCAATTAACTAATACCCCTCTTCATGCAGAAGTTCATATCAGTTTCTCTGGGCAGAGTAAGTAGAGAAATTAATTAGTGGGATCAAACTCATCGCATTTTACTAGTAGTGTACTAATTTCATTTAAATGTATCTTGTATATTTATTAATTACTTGTATTGAAAATGAGTTTAAAATGATTTTAAAATCACCATGTCATCATCTTATAGGTTGGTCTACCACAATTGCCTGAAGCAACCACATTTTGCCTTGTGGATGAGGACAATAGGGCACCATATTTGAACATCGATTGTATAATAAATGCAAAAATATATTTTAAGAAAAAAAGTAACTTTTTAATAGTTAGCTCAAAACCGATGGAAATATTTCTTTTGGTGTGTAATTGTTTTATTTTCCACAAGCTTAATCGACAATTTTAATAGTTTGTAATACTTTATTTTGAATAAGCATATGTATTTCACAAGCTTAATTGACAAAATTAGAGTAATTGTAACATTTTGAGGAGCTAGATTATCATACTTTAGAACCATACACGATGAGGATATCGGAAACTAGGATTTAACATAAGCAATGTCTATTCCCACTATAATTATTAAGCTAAGTGAATAGTTAAACACTTATACCTTCAATCCTTATAATTATTAACAGCGCAATAAATTTACTTTATACCTTCAATCCTTTTAAAACTTTTCATACTCCGTACAATTAACTTTTCTTTTGTTAGGTTTTAAAAGGATAAAGAGTCGAAAATTATTCCAGTAGAAGCTAATTGATTTTGAAACTTGGTTTTGCTCCAATATTCCCTACATGTATGATCGAAGTGATGATACACGAACCATTTCTTTGTCCAATGTCAATGTCATTCAATTCAAAGTTGATACACAATCACAGAGACCAACCCTAAGTTGCTAATTAAGATTATATTAGTTTCGCAAAAAGCTAAAATACTTTTAAGTTGTAAGCAAGCATTATAATTCAGGATTAAGGTCAACTTGTGCATATATACTCTAAATTATTCGATTCAAATTTGTCCTATTTTTTAGATTGAATCTTGGTTAAGTGCTTTCTTGCCTACAAATTTTTTGTTTGTTCTGTCATATTGCATGTTCTAGCTTTTCTCATGAATTATATATTTCAGTGGCATTCAAAGAGATATGCACTGTTAAGACCCTCAAAGAAGCACTTTTGGTTTTTGAAAAAGTCTAATTTGGCAAGCCAATTAAAGGGTTCAAGTTGTTACAGACAATGTTCATGTAACGTCGCACCCATGTTACTTGGACTCTTCAATTACCTCAAGTATTTGTGTCGGATCCTCGATACTCGAATATGGATATAACATTTAGACAGTTCAATTTAATTCAAAATTGTTGATTTTTTTTCACAAAATGATGGAACCGGAAACTTGGACACGTACCCATGTCGGACATGGGTACCCTAGTTCGAGTAACAAAACATTTCACGATCAACATGAAATGCATGCATTGGACAACTGTTATAGATTGTTCTTTTATAAAAGTATACAGAGTTGACAGTTATAGTATGTCCATTTATAAAATTATGTCATATCTTTAATGATACAGAGACAACAATTTCCAACCAGAGTGAGTTGTATATTGTCAAAACAGCTACTTATGAATAGAGCTGTCAATTCGAGTAAACGGATCGGGTTAGAGTCGAGTAAGAGTGGGTCGGATCGGGTCAATTCGGATTAATTCCATAACCTATGCGACTTCGGGTCTGGGTTGGGTCATGTTTGAGTTGGGTCACGTCGGGTCATACTTCTTATCGGGTTTGGGTCCGGTTAATAACAGGTCGGGTTACATTCGGGTCGGGTTAATTCGGGTTAAAATGGGTTAGGGTAATTATCAGGTTCGAGTCAAGTCAATAATTTGCGGGTTAGAATCAGGCGGATCATTCTCGGGTTTGAGTCGGGTTCGGTTCAAGTCAATAATTTGCGGATTATAATTAGGTCGGTCATTTTCAAGTCGGTTCATTCTCGGGTTCAAGTCGGGTTCTGTTCAAGTCAATAATTTGTTAGTTATAATTAGGTTGGGTGATTTCCAAGTAGGGTCATTCTCGGATTCAAGTCGGGTTATGTTCAAGTCAATAATTTGCATGTTACAATCAGGCCGGGTCATTTTCAAGTCAGGTCATATTCGGGTTCAACTAATTATAAATAAATAATTATTATTTTAATCAAGCTAATTATTTCCTTTAACTATAATATGCATGGCAATATACCAGGGAACTATAGTCTATAATTTAGGAAGATAATTATCTCCTTTGACCATACAAAAAATATATACTATATTTAACTCTTAAATTTGAGTATGATGCTCTTTTCTTTTGTTGGCTTGGACCGACTTGGTCTCCCTAGACAAAATGCTTTGATTAACAATAATAAGGTGGTCTAAATTGCATTTAAGGTGATTTGAAATCGGGTCAGAAAAATTTGGGTTGAATTTAGGTCGAGTTAATAACAAGTCATGTAAATTTCGAGTCGGGTTAGTAACATATCGAGTTGAATTTGTTGTCATAAATGTCCGTGATAGACTTGTGTTTACGAAATCGGTGCAAGGTGCGAACGGGTAAATTGACTGTTTAAAGGCATATTGGATGGTTTTACCCATCCAAATGGGCTCCCGGAGGGTATTAGGGACCATGGTAAACAACTCGGTAATTTTTATTTACGGGCGAAAAAAGGTCAAAAAATCCCAAAATTAAAGGCTATTATCCACGCTTTTTGAGGAATTTTGAAGTTACGGGGCCCGGTGGCGAAAAGTGTTGAGATCCTTGAGATTACATCTTAGGGTCATATAATGCCTTTGGGAACCATATATGACCATTATATTTTATCATAAATGTCCGTGGTGGGTTTGAGTTCACAAAATCGGTGCAAGGAGCGAACGGATAAATTGACCGTTTAAAGGCATGTTGGATGATTTTACCCACCCAAATGGGCTCCCAGAGGATATAAGGGACCATGGTAAACATCTTAGTAATTTTTATTTACGGGCGAAAAAAGGTCAAAAAATTCCAAAATTAAAGGCTATTATCCACACTTTTTGAGATATTTTGAGGTTATGGGGCCCGGTGGCGAAAACTGTTGAGATCCTAAAAGATACATCTCAGAGTCATGTAATGTCTTTTGGAACCATAAATGACCATTATATGTAGTCTTAAATGTCCGTGGTAGGCTTGTGTTTTAGAAATCGGTGCAAGGTGCGAATGGGTAAATTGACCGTTTAAATGCATATTAAATGGTTTTACCCACCCAAATGGGCTCCCGGAGGATATTAGGGACCATGGTAAACATCTTGGTAATTTTTATTTCCGGGCAAAAAAAGGTCAAAAAATCCCAAAATTAAAGGCTATCATCCACGCTTTTTCAGAAATTTTGAGGTTATAGGGCCCGGTGGGGAAAAGTGTTGAGATCCTTGAGAATACATCTTAGAGTCATATAATTCCTTTTGAAACCATATATGACCATTATATTTTGTCATAAATGTCCGTGGTGGGTTTGAGTTCACAAAATCGCTGCAAGGTGCGAATGGGTAAAATGACCGTTTAAAGGCATGTAGGATGATTTTACCCACCTAAATGGGCTCCCGGAGAGTATTAGGGACCATGGTAAACATCTCGTTAATTTTTATTTTCGAGCGAAAAAAGGTAAAAAAAATCCCAAAATTAAAGGCTATTTATCCACGCTTTTTGAGAAATTTTGAGGTTACGAGGTCTTATGGAGAAAAGTGTTAAGATCCTAGAGGATACATCTCAGGGTTATATAATGTCGTTTGGAACTATTCATGACCATTAAACGTTGTCATAAATGTCCGTGGAAGACTTGTATTCACGAAATCGGTGAAAGTTGCGAACGTGTAAGTTGACTGTTTTAAGGCATATTGGATGGTTTTAGCCATCTAAATGGGCTCCCGGAGGATATTAGGGATCATGGTAAACATCTTGGTAATTTTTATTTTCGGGCGAAAAAAGGTCTTAAAATCCCAAAATATCCCTCAAGTCTATTGAAATATTCACAAAAAGGCTCATTGTCATATTGAGGAAACGAGTTACTTGCCATTTTTTTTTTACAAAAACAAGCAAAAATTAAAAAAAAAAAAAATAAAAAGAAAAGTATACACAAAGACCTAGACTCAAGCAATAAAAAACAATCAAGCATTGACACCGTTCCCCGGCAACGGCGCCATTTTGAGCGCGGGGAAATTATGTCGTTGACTAACCTCCTCACGGCCAAACAAAATTTATTATAATCCTAAACTAACCCCTAAACAAGTCTAGTGGTAAGTTCGGAGTCGAACCACAAGGAACGGTAATGTTGGATTGTTCTCGATCTAATGCTTAAGCTACGCCGAAGTCGGTTTATGGATAGTGGACACTACAACTACACTAACACACATATAAAGATCAAGATATTACAAAGTCTACTAGGGGCAAAGATCCACTTTGAACAATTAACAAGTTAATGGGAATCGATTTGATAATCAATCATGCAAAGAAAGAATTAAAATGGGAATTAATTACCATCAAGAGCAATCTCTCAAATTCCTAGCCTAGA